CCTTCCTCGTCCCTCATTTCTCCTTCCTCCCTTTGCTCCTTCACTCGCTGATCACCACTTAATTTGCACAGGCACCACACATCAACAAAACGGACTTCCTCCATGCCGTAGTCTGTGAAAAGAAGTGGTTCGAGAACACGTTGGACGATTTGGTGGCTGCGGGGTTGAATGGAAGGTGTTGATGAATCAGGTTGGTGCGCTTTTTTCCCCTTCTTTTTCTCCCCTCCCTCTTGTTCTCTTCCTATCCATTTCTTCTTTTTTATGGCTACGAGCGATGATGGCAAACTACGACGGCAAACGACGATTGCAAATGATGAGAGCAAGCATCACCAGCAGCTTGCGTTCCTCAAATGTGAACACGACGAGCTCGGGGCATATTTGGGCGTGTCGTCGCCGTTTGCCCCTTCTGCCCGTACACTGTAGAGGGACGACGTTGGATAAAGGGAGTGTTTTGTATGTTACATTACTAAGTAGATTTGTATGTTACATTACCAAGTAACATGGTCATTGGTGCTAAACCCGTAAGACCCGTAAGACCCGCCAAACCCATACCCTTACCCACAAAAACCCCTACCCGTGGTTGAGGGTACGGGTTTCCAGGGGTAAGGGTATGGGTAAGGCCGGAAGTACCCGGGGGTTACCCGTGACAATGCCTAAAAATACCAATTGATTAGTTTGCGATAAGAGGGCATCAGAGCGGTTCACTTACAGTCTCGGCAGCCATGAATGTGCCGCCTGTTATAACGGAATTCTGAGCACCTTGGAGGATATGGATTTCACTCATGTTGGAAGTGGGGCAGATGTGGGCAAAGGGAAGAAGCGACAACTTGCAACAAATGCCACACGTTGACCATCAGGCATCGTTCGCGTTTTGCCGGTAAGTGCTCACCACAGCTCTTTGTCACCTGCCCCACTGGGCGCTCGGAACTCGGTTCAGAGCAGCGTACTTAAATGTTTCTGCGCAGGGGCAGACCATCGGAGATCGCACTGTCGTTAGTACCACTCCCTCTTCGTTCCCCCCTTCCCTGGCTGTATTACTTCACTCTATCTACTCCTATTGTTCCCCTCCCCCGCGCTCCATGTGAACGTGCTAACAACTGCTCAGAAGGGCCAATCAACTCCTCCGTCTCCCCCTGCCCCAATCCTTCACCTCAATCAGCTGCGGGGTACTCCACGCAGAGCGTCTCTGACCATTTCTTTCCCAATGCGGTCCGCCCTACTAATTCCGTCAATTTGTGCCGGAGCTCATGACCCAACAGGGTGAGCTTCAAGTTGACAGTTCGAAGAACGAGACTGAAGTGTTTCACACAGTGGAAGAAAAAGATCGAGGACGAGTTGAAGGAGTCAAGGAAGAAGTCGTGGCGTTGGGTTGGCGTGGCAGATCGGTGAGTCCAACCAGGAAGAAATTGGACCTGACAAAGTGTGGATGGGGTCAAGCACTGCCAACAACACACTCGGACACGTTGACTGCCCACATTCCCCACACCAGCCACGCATGGGTCGACGCCAACTAGCTGCGACGTCAACACCACCCGACCAACTCCGGCATCATGTACGATGTTCCCTCGCCTGCCACGTGGAGCTCTCTTGCTTGGTAAGTTCTCACCGCTATGGGGGTTGCTGCCCTCGCCGTTTGTTTGTCCAAACCCTGCCAAAGTAAGTCACTAACGACAAACTATCCTGTCTGCCTGCTAATGTGGACATTCTCTCTTTAGACTTCTTCACCACTGGCCATCACCTCCACCACCAATCGACGAAGGGGGCATATGAGATCACAACGACTTGAGAGTATCACAATAGCAGGGAAGGGAGTTATGGGTGAGTAGTAGCATATAACTAGCCTCTTCAGTAGTACCAGTAATTTCATTGTGTTATTGAGTAACAATTACATATCATTGATTTTTCTACATTATGTGCTTGGATTGAGGGAATTGAATGGGATATTGAGTTATTGAATACATGGTTGCCATACTGTGATATGTACCCTCTCTACATATTCACCCACAATGACAATAGCCAGAGTGGTCAGCTGGAAATTGGCTGGACCTGACAGGTTTGTGCCAGCTAGGCTGGCGGCAGAACCCTATTAGTTCGATTTTGAGCTGGTGGCCACAATCCATCACACTGGTGACAATGTGGGAAAATGTTGAGGAGACGCCGCATGGCCCAGGTGGCTTCCACATCTGGCCCAAATAGTGGTGTATAATAATCATAAGCTTTTCCTTTCAAAGATAGGACAAAGACTTGCTTATTTCTACAGACTTTTCCAGCCGTAACATACTCAGTTCCCTCAGTAACAAAGCGGTGATAGGAGCGAGCATCTGCTGCTCCATCATATTCTTTGGGGGAAATGGGTTTCAATCCGGATTTACGTGATCTGGATTTGGAACACCTGTGCCTGCAACGCGACTTTTGCTTGGAGCATTTCCTCGTGCGTGGGCTGTCCTGAGAGCTAACCGAGCTCTCAGAGTCACTTGGTGACTTGCTCGAGGATGAGTCCAAGCTGGAATAAGAAGAATCCAAAGACTCAGGGTCTGGATCTGTTTGACAAGAGTGAGAGCGTCTGTCGACGTTGTCAAGTGCACACCTGAGATAGCTTTCAGGTGTGATTTGATTAATGGGTCTGCTTTCTGCACTTCGAGCTGCCTTTTCCAGGCACGCAGATCGGTGGTCATTAACCTTGGAGACGTGTTGCCCTGTCAGGTGCGACATGGGAGTCTGTGCCTTAGGGTTCTTAGTAACCTTTAAGGTTTTCTTCTTATTTCTGTGAGTGTGTTTCTTCGGCACCAATTTTTTATTCTCTGAATTTTCATTCTCAGAATCTGATCGGGCAGAGGTTTCCTTGTGATGATCCTTAAAGGACTCGAGAGTGGTGTGCTGCGCGTCGACGTCAAGGTCCTCATCACTTAATTGGGCCGCCCCCCAATTCCTCGGGTCAATGTTTTTGCCTTTGGAGTGGGATGGCCCTTCACCACGTGAGGCCGGAGATTCCACCCTCTTTCGAGGTTGTTCCTTAAGTTTCTCATAGCGACAAGAAATTCGATTCTTCTGGGCTGGAGTCAACTGTTCTTCAGCTTGGTTGAGTACAGTTTCTTTTTCTGTTCTCAATTTCTTATTGTTTTTGTCAATAGTAATAGAATTTTTTTTCATTCTAACTTTACTGAGAGATTCTAGGCTATGTGTATGCCTAGGAACTACTCTGATCCAGGGATTGGGATTATCATCCTGGTCACTGGGG